GCTGAAAATATATTTGAAATGAAAAATTCAATAGATTAGACATTACAAAAGAAAGAATAGTGAGCTTGAAAGCTTAGCAGCAGAAATTTTCCAACTGAAACATAAAAGAAAAATAAAAGACTGGTTAAAAATGAACAGAGCTGGGCTTGATGGCTTGTGCCTGTAATCCCAGCTACTTAGGAGGTAAAGCAAGAGGATTGCTTGAAGACAGGCGTTCAAGACCAGCCTCGACAACATAGTAAGACTGCATGTCTAAAAATCTAAAAAATAAATGAACAGAGCATCAGTGACCTATGTGGGACATATGTGATCTATCATACTTTTATTGGGAGATTGAGAAAGAATAAAGAAGCCGGGCATGGTGGCTCACACCTGTAATCTTAGCACTCTGGGAGGCCAAGGCAGATGGGTTGTCTGAAGCTCAGGAGGGAGACTCCATCTCTAAAAATAGCCCAGGCATTGTGGTGGGCACCTGTAGTCCCAGCCACTTGGAAGGCTGAGGCAAGAGAATCACTTGAGCCTAAGAGTTTGAGGTTGCTGTGAGCTATGACAGCGCAGCACTTTGAGGCAAAGTGAGACTGTCTCAAAAAAGAGAGAGAGAGAGAAGGAATAAAGAAACAGAAAAATATTTGAAAAAAAGTATAGTTGAAAACCATTCAAATTTGATAAAAACTATAAACTAAGATCCAAGGAATTCAACAATCCCCAGGCAAGTAAAACACAAAGAAAATCATACCAAAGCACATCATAATCAATTTCTTAAAAGGCATGATACTCAATGGTGAAAGATGGACAACATTTCCTCTAATATCAGGAAGAAGATAAGGTTGCCTGCTTTCTCCACTTCTATTCAGCATAGTTCTGGAAGTCCTAACAGTTAGGCGAGAAAAAGCTATAAAAGGCACCTAAATCGGAAAGGAAGAAGTGAAACTATCTCTGTTCACAGATGACATGGTCCTATACATAGAAAGCCCTGAATATTCCACCCAAAAGTGAACAAAACTATTAAAGCTAATAAACAAATTCAGCAAAATGGCAACACACAAAATGAATGCACAAAAATCAATTGCATTACTATATTCTAATGATGAATTATCCAAAATGGAAATTAAGGATAACAGTCACATTAGGGTGGCACCTGTGGCTCAAAAGAGTAGAGCACCAGCCCCATATACTGGAGGTGGTGGGTTCAAACCTGGCCCCGGCCAAAAACTGCAAAAAAAAAGAAAGAAAGAAAGAAAGAAAACTGTCACATTAATAATAGCACATAAAAAAATAATAGCACCAGAAAGAAAATACTTAGAAATAAATTTAACCAAGGAGACAAAATACTTATACACTAAAAACAACAAAATATTCATTAGAGAAATTAAGGAAGACATAAGTAAATGGAAAGACATCATTTACTGGGCTGGGTAATTTATTGGGTGGGCTGGGTGCCTATAGCTCAGTGGCCAGGGCGCCAGCCATATACACTGGAGCTGGCAGGTTTGAACCCAGCCTGGGCCTGCCAAATGACAATGACCACTACAACCAAAAAATAGCCAGGTGTTGTGGCAAGCACCTGTAGTCCCAGCTACTTGGGAGGCTGAGGCAAAAGAATCACTTAAGCCCAAGAGTTTGAGGTTGCTGTAAGCTGTGACCTCATAGTACTCTACTGACGGCGACATAGTGAGACTCTGTCTTAAAAAAAAACAAAAAAAAAAACAACTACTACTGATCTCCAAATTGATCCATATAGTCAATTCAATCTAGGCCATACACCTAATAGGGTTTTATAGAAATTGTTTAAGAACTCAATGAATCCTCAACAATAAAAAAAAAATTAATTAAACAAAATTTTTTGAGACAAAGTCTTTGTTGCCCAAGCTAGATAGTTACTGTGAGCTATGGCATCATGCTCACAGGGTGTCACTCTTGCTCAGGCTGGTCTTAAACTCCTAAGCTCAAGCAATCCACCTACCTCAGAATTAATTATTTTTTGACAAAGGTGTATCCAATTTTTGTAAATGCTAAATACAAGAAGCTAAGCACAGTGGCTCATGCCTGTAATTCCAGCACTTTTGGAGCCTCAGACAGGAGGATTGCTTGAGGCTGGGAGTTATAGACAGCCTGGGAAACATAGCTAGATCCCATCTCTACAAAATATAAAAAAAAAAAAAAAAAAGCCAGGCCTGGTGACTTATGCCTCTAGTCCCAACAACTCAGGGGACTGAGGCAGAATTGCTTGACCTAGGAGTTCAAGACTATACTCCAACCTGAGTAACAGGGCAAGACCATGTCTCCTAAAAAAAAAAAAAAAAAAAAATTATCACTGTAATCAGCATTTACAGAGTAAAGACAAAAAATTCTATGATTACCTGTATTTTCACAGTTGCCAAAAAGACACTTAGTAAAAAATTCAGTATCTCTTAATGATTCAAAAATAATATATCTAGGTGGTGCCTGTAGCTCAGTAGGTAGGGCACTGGACATATACATCTAGGCTGGCAGGTTCAAGCCTGGCCCATGCCTGCTAAAGAGCAATGACAACTGCAACAACAACAACAGCAACAAAATAGGCAGGTGTGGCGGGTGCCTATAGGCCCAGCTACTTGGGAGGCTGAGACAAAAGAGTTGCTTAAGCCCAAGAGTTTGAGGTTGCTGTGAGCTGTGACACTACGGCACCTACCCAGGACGGCAAAGTGAGACTCTGTCTCCAAAAAAACAAAATAAAATAAAATATCTAGTCAGTTGAATAGAGATATTTTCACTCTGAGGAGAATAACTTCTTAAAACAACAAAATTTATCTATAAATTTATCTATAAATTCTATATCTATAAACCACAGTTCTATTGGTCAGAAGTCTAGATGGGGTTGGCTGCTTTATCTGCTCCAGCTAACACAGCCAAAATCAAGGTCTGTTTCCACACTCATTCATGCTGTTGTCAGAATCCTGTTCTTTGTACCTGTAGGTATAAGTTCCTTGTGTCTTTCTTGGATATTAGCTGGGGGCTACTTCTAACTCCCCGAAGCTGTTCTCCCTGGTCCTTGTACATGGATTCCTACATTTTAGAACTATCAGTGGTACATTCATTCTTCCTTGTGCTTAGAATCTCTGACTTCTTTTCTGTGCATCTGATGTCTTACTCCAGCCAAAGAAAATTCTCTGCTTATAAGTTTCTAAGTTGTCATGTGATTAGATGATAACTCTAGTCACCACCCAGATAATCAAGTATGATCTTACTGTCTTAAGATCCATAACCCTAATATGTCTACAGATTACATCTTGTATACCCATAGTTCCAGGTATTAGGGTATGGACATCTCTAGGGCCATTCCACCTATTAAAGTGAAACAAAAAAAAAAATCCATTCACCATTGTTGGTGATAATCCATTATCATCATTGTTTTTCAGTGTCATGAGAGAATTAGTCAGTGCATTTGTGAAAGAAAAATAAGGGATTTAAGTATTAGGAAAAGCTACATCTGTCATTTATTTATAGATGATATAATACTCTGCCCCTAAACATCTGAGATCCAACTGTCACTAAGAGTACAGGAAGGTGAATACAAGGCTATATATTTTTTAATCTTTGGTTTCCTATTAACCAGCAATGGTGACTTGAAAATGCAATTAGAAAAAAATTACTCACCATAGCAATAAAATACTCATGAATAAACCAGTGAAATCTCATGACCTATCAGTAGAAAGGCTTGTTTAAACCAAAGAGTATAAAAGAGACATAAGAAATTGAAGAGATGCAAAAAATGCGGATTTTTACTAAATTTATGGGTAATCTTAATGTAATTTCTTATTTTCTCTTGTAAGTGAAACTTATATTTTTAAAGGCACTTGACAATATAGTTCTAAAATATATCTGGAAATTTGTTTAATGTGCAGGAATAGCCAAGAATATTAATGAGATTTATGTGCCTTATCACATATTGAAATATATAAAACATACAGTGATGACCATAGTGATTAAAACTGTGGTATAATACAAAAGTTAACAATAACTTTATTTATATGGCAAAGAAAATTATTGGTGTATGTATGGGAATTAGGTGTAACAACTTAAATAATTCAAACAAACCAATCTTGAAAGCATATAGGGAAATATGATGCATGATTTTTGAAGCATGCAAGGAAATATGAAGAACATCATATTAGAGGCTACCAAGAAATTACTGTTAGATGTGACAGTGGTATTATGGATATATGAAAAATGTCTATGTTTAGAGACTTTTACTAAAGCATGTAGAAGTGAAATGAATGTATCTGGTGGATTGTGGAGGTATAATGGAGAATTTTTGTCATTTTTATATTAGTTGTTATTTTATAACAATACTCTATATTCACATAATTTTTTAAAAATTAAAGATATGCAACTTAAAACTATATAAACCAAGTAGGGTCTGTAGATTGTGCCAAAGTCAGTTTCTTGTTTTCTATACTCAACTCTAGTGTGTAAGTTGTTACCACTGGAGGAAGGTGGGTAGAAGGACTCTGTATTAATTTTGTAAGTAGTGAGTCTATAATTATTCAGAATTTTTTAAAAATTAAAAAATAAGTGAGGGGCGGCACCTGTGGCTCAAAGGAGTAGGGCGCCAGCCCCATATGCCGGAGGTGGCGGGTTCAAACCCAGCCCCGGCCAAAAACTGAAAAAAAAAAAAAAATAAGTGAATAAAATTAAAGGTTTAAAAAAGGAATCATAGCTACCACCCACTAAAGCCTTTGAACTACCTAAATCAGGGGTCCTCAAACTTTTTAAACAGAGGCCCAGTTCACTGTCCCTCAGACGGTTGGAGGGCTGGACTGCGGGCCCTGGGACAAGTTGGCTGCTTAAGTAGGACAGCCAGCGGTGGCAAAAACACCCGGAGGGCCGGATAAATGTCCTAGGCGGGCTGCATGTGGCCCATGGGCCATAGTTTGAGGATGCCTGATCTAAATAGTCTAGTCACTTAAAGAAAGAAGATGAAAAGAAAATACACTCATTATTATTTTCCCATTTAATAGGTTTTAAATGATCTGGAATGTCATGGAGTTGCTGTATCAGACCAAAGCCGAGCGGAGCTGGAACAGAAAATAGATGAAGCTAGAGAAAATATCCGTAAAGCAGAGGTAAGGTGGCAGCTAATTGTGGTATTATACCCAGCTCTAACAACAGTGTCATGGCTGTGAAATACCCCTCTAAAATTGAGTTTTTATACATATGATGAAGATGATTAACGATCTTCATTTGTGTTCAACTGTTATTTATTACTTTCTATAAAGGCACTGAACACACTGTGAAGAGTTTACAATCACGAAATATTAAATAACAAAAGAACTAAGTCACAATGAAGATACTAATCTTAAAGCTTTTACCAAGTACATAATAAGCCAGGCAAATTAATGGGAGAGAAATTGATATATGTAAGTTCAGAGCCTAGAAAATCTACCTGGAAGGTTCCATGGATTTAGGGACATGAGCTGGGCCTAGGAATGGGAAAAATTGGTTAAGCAGAGAGGGAAAAAAACTATACTAATAAATTTTAATCAGTCATTTTTAGAGTTGTGGGACCTTTTGAGGATTGTTTGAAACTTGTGAAACATTCTGTCCCACAAAAGAAAATAGTACATTTTGTAGAAATGTCCAGTGTTTATGTACCCAAGGCTAATACGCCCTGCTCAAGAGGGAGGAGGTTGAGATGGGAAACAAGAAAGTATTAGCAAATAGGGAAGACAGGGTATACTTTGATTAGAGCAGAGAATTTTTATAAGGAAATATGATAGAAAGTAAGTAAACTCATTGTGATTATGGCTACTTCATGGGGGACATGTTTATCTACTTAGCTGCAAAATGGTGAAGCGATATGGAGGTAGACATATTAAAAAGAATGAGACAGCCCTGGAGAGATTATGTTCTTGTTAATGTTACCTCCTAAATGGAGGGGTTCATTTGCTTGGTGGATATTGCTCCAGTAGACCCAGCAGCCAAGTCAGTGGGGGCAGGTTACTTGTCCACAAAGAGCATACTGGGGATAGTTCCCAAAGCTGTGTCTTTCCAAATGAGTAAGTTAACCTGGTTTTATAGTCAGAAGGTAATAAGGTATGATCTGATAAGATCTTGCCAGGTGGTAGCCCAGTGCTCGTTCTCATTTGACCCCAGATCCTGTCATACAGTGTTCACTTCTTAATTTAGTCCCAGCTCTTGGGTCTGAGCCCTTAAGTTCCAGCTGTTGGTACATGCTTGGTATATCTGAACTTGCTTGAGTTATGTGATCTTCAACCTTGGGGTCCATAGCAACTGAAAAACAGCTCACAACTTTGTTATAAAAGTTGAAAAAGGGGTCGTGCCTATGGCTCAAGGAGTCGGGCACCAGCCCCTTATACTGGAGGTGGCAGGTTCAAACCCTGCCCCGGCCAAAAACTGCAACACCAAAAAAAGTTGAAAAAGATTGGTCTGGTATAGTTACATTAGGAAGGCATAAAGAATGCCAAAGATAACTAAGATAGTAAAGTATAAGTGCCAGGAAGTGGTCTTATATGTAAGGAACCCAGTAGACACAGAAGTGACTGTGGAAGCAGTTGTCAAAGCAGTTAAAACAGAGGAGAAGACTTAAGATGGGCAGTGGCAGATGAGTCATTTTTGACTAGCCAGAGAAAGAGGGATAGCGCAGATTTATGCTCTGCAACTTCAAGAGGCAGACATTGGATAAAAGATGAAAGTAGGAAGGAGGCAGGTGTGAGTTTTGTTTTGACAAATATTTTCTACCGGTCAGATCTTCTCAGTGACTAAACAAACACCTGGACATAGTGCAGCACTGTAAGTGTGTGAGAAGATCTGGACAAGCATCTGTCAAGGACTCTATATGAGGAATTCTTGCATTGGTTGAGGGTTAATCTAAACTAGTGATTTTGAAACACCCCTTTGAGACTCTGGAGGTTTTGAGGAAATGCTTCAGTGGTTGTGGGGTCAGGAGAGAGGCAGTGTAGACAAGCATAGGGAATATGAGCATGTTTTTGGCACAGTCCCATGGAAGTAATCTGAATCAGCACAGGCTTACCATCTGTCTGGTCTAGAGAAACTCCAGCACCCCCACCTCCACTTCACTCCTGTCAAAGTCTGATCCATAGCCTTCAAGGCGAAGAGGGCTTGCAACAAATAGCTATTTTCCTCTCTGAATTCAGAGTCATAGCCAGACTACTTCCCTATGTGCTGGCCAAGTACTACTGGCAAGCCCTTGCCTAGTTTGAGAAACACTGGCCTATCATAGGAAAGGTTTTCCTGTTTGTTTCCCCACAGTTTGGTTGAAGACCTTGGTAGAACAGGAGTAATTATTTTGAAACAAGTCTCAAAAGTTTTTGAAGGGTATTTCTTATATTTTCCAGTTCTTATATTTTCCATGTCCAGTCTCTATCCGTGGTGTCACAGTCTGGTACACTAACTCCACCAAATGCTTCTCCCATTCCCAGTAATAGGTTTCAGTCACACAAGAGTCTTCATTTAGACTGAATGACCTATTATTTCCATGAATTTGCTAAACTAGACAGTGTTTGTTAGTTTAAAACAGAAATATAAAGTAAAATTCTCACAATACAGTGTCTTACTCCAAACTTTACAACAAAATCAACAATGATTTGATCCATTATCTGTCACAATTCTGGATGTTTACCAAGCATTTATTTTGCTGGGTTTGCCCAAGGTTACTCAAGTCACTGTATTCAGCCAGAGGGTCAGCTGGAGGGCTAGGCTCAACTGAGATAGCTGGATCTTTTCTCCATGTGGTCTTTCATCCCCAAGTAGTTGAAACTTGGCTTCCTTACATGGCAGGGGCACATTCCAAGAAGTCGAGTCCTAGTAGCACTTACTAAGGAGCTTCTGTTTCTATCAAATTGGCAGATGCCCCATTAGCCAAAGCCAATCACATGAAAAGGCCCAGAATCAAGGTGAGAGGACACTATGTGAATTCATGGAAGTCTAACAATTTTCCACAGTCAGTATGACCTGATTAAATCATTTTTCTCATCTGTAAAATGGAGTTTATGATATCCATCCCCAGAATTGTTTTGTGGATAATGTGAAGTAGCCAACTGTTTTAAATTTCACATGAACTTTATTGATAACCTGTATAATCATAGTTCCTAATATATATGATAAAAGCTTTTTGGAATATTTTATTTTAAGATACCAAAGATAGAATGGCAGGTATTATTACCTACCTTTTTTTTTCTTTGAGACAGCGTCTCAATCTGTCACCAAGTCAAGAGTACATACCATGGCATCATCAGTCTAGCTCACAGCAACCTCAAGCTCCAAATTTTTATCTCCATTTCTAAAAGTCTATATGCTTCAAAGAATCTTAGGATTAAAAAACTCTTAGGTGGCTCGGAGCCTGTGGCTCAAGCGGCTAAGGTGCCAGCCACATACACCTAAGATGGCGGGTTCGAATCCCCAGCCCAGGCCCGCCAAACAACAATGATGGCT